TACTAATATATGTATATAAATTCGTATATTTGTCATACCTTCATTCGTGAAGAAACCCGGCCAGAGAGGGCGGGAGTGCTAGCTCAGACTAGTCAGGCTTAAGCGTGGCTCGGATCATCAGTTGGAAATGACAGTCTGGGCCACCATAAAACAGTGTCCTCAATTAAACTTTCGTGTTAAATTCAGTTAGCAATCTCTTTCCTGAATAAGTCAGTTATTTAATATACTGTCGGTGAGGATTTTGCGATAAACGTATTTCTTGTAATGTCTATATAACACTGGCTCGTTCTTTCACTGTGCATGCATTATATATCGAGGTATTAAGCTCTTGAAAACTTCAGAGAGCACTCAAATAAAGTCGCAAGACGATCGCCCATCTTCTGAAATTCATCCTAGAGCCGCCCAAATTTGCGGTTTCCTGCGCAAGGGTTGTGACGTTGCGAGTGGCGCGGTTCGTTTGTTCTCAAATTAGCACATTTGTCTATAGATGGTTTTCACTGTGACGCCATTAAATTGTAAAGTCAAAGTAGCGAGGTCTTACGAATTCTTAATTACACTAGGTTGAAGGTAAGCAAAAAGTAAATCTTTGTACAAGTTTCCATTCCGTAGCATGTTTCATTTGGAAAATAGAGCAATTTGAGTTCTCACTGTGCGTGACACTAAAATAGGAATGCTGTCTCGTTGAAAAAAAGTCTCCTCTCTCGATTTTCAGCAGTATAACCACTTCAAGTATTAGAAGATATGTTTATGCGTACGTATGCTAGTTCTCGAGTGAAAAGAAAGAGCTTTTATAGAAAACGTGAACTCCAGATGTTTTTTTTTTTATTTCCGGCGGCCATATTGGTGCACCAAAACAGTGAACCAATATGGCGTCTCCATACAAAGCTCTACAAAGGTGCGTGAAACGTTTCGGCAAATAACTCACAAAGTGTGGGCCACGAAGACCTGAGACTTAAATAAATTGTTTACATATTAGTCTTTTATAGCGTGTAATTTTCTTAGCTTCTTCCACTGGACGGTTTCCAATTTAATTTTTTGTTGCGTGACAGTGAAAACGATCTATTTCTATGTAACCGCGTGGACCTGCACTTGCCGTCTCCTATCCCGACTATGGCTCCTGGCATTTTAAAATTTTGTCCGTCGAATTGAATGATCACCATAAAGGTTGTCTCGTTGGATGCTCGTCGTCGAATGGTTATTTTTCGATCAATGTTTCTTGGCTACCGTAACAATAATTTTTGAGCACCAGTGCGGGCTTATGAAATAGTACAGTCGAATCTCTTCAGAACGGCCACCTTGGGGACAGAAGAAAGTGGCCACTGTGGCGGGGAAAAGGCCGTTATGGGAAGGTAGGGTGCGTTAAGGGGTGCAATGTGACAATTATATTTTACGAAGTATATGTTTATTGTGCTAACTTCATGCTTGCTGTATTCCATTAATGGTAATCCAGTCATTGGACAAAAAAATGGATTTGGACGAATTTGCTCCTTGCAAATAATTAATATGTCGCAAAAATGTAAAAACTGAGGAGTAAATATGGGGAAAAGACGGTAAATACCACATTTGCATACCAAAAAAACAACGGGTTTAAATAACTAGGCAGTTATGGCATTTACCATCTTAGCCCCAGATTCACACCTCTTCTTTCACAATTTTGCGACATATTTGCAGGGCGCAAATTTGTGCTAATCCATTTTTTCGTCCAGTAAAGCATATATAATATATAGATATAAAATTCACAAAAAAAACCTGAATTAATGTTTTGTGTCAAAATGTGAAAACACAAGAAAGGCTCGCAACATCCGCTATAACCGCTATAAGTATCGTAGACAATTGTATTCTTGCTGCAGCAGTATAAATGGAACCAGAAGCATGCTTCTGATGGAACACAATCAAATTATGATTGCCGCGATTAATCATCAACGCCTCATACGGATCAAATTTCAAGACCATACTAGACTTTTTCACCAGTCGCTTATGAAAAAACTGGCCGTTGTCGAGAAGCTATATTTTGGCAGTCGGGGGCACGCTTTAGTGGGCGTTGCCTTTTTATGGAGGTTTAAACGAAAGAACAATGCTTATGGAGTGTTCGCCGCGACAAAAAAGAAAGAAAGAAAGAAAAAGTAGCTGTTAGTGGAGGCTCTACTGTATTTTTAAGGTAAAAAATACCAAGGGAGTTACCACTTTTTCATTAGCAGAAACAGGGACTGCGTGTACAAGCACCGGCAATGAGCGGAAAGCAATTCCTCTTTGTCTCCCAAACAACTGCAAGTGGAATTCACAAGCCCGTGAGAATAAGAAAACAGAAGAACAGCGCTCATCGCTGTATGTGGTTGACGAAGCAATTGAGAAGCTCAGGGAAGTCAAAGGTACGTGACCGCTTCTTACCATGAATTGCCGGCGTTTTTAATAAACCAACTGATTGACCGAAAGTGAGGTCATTACAGAGAAATCTCAGACTGACGACACGAGGTTAATAAGTTATTTATTATATGGCTTTTTAGCCCTATTAATGTAAAACACTGGACGTAATCGAGCCTGCGATCAGTTAAAACCAACAACAGGTCAGCACATAACTTTAAAACACTTCATCTCAATAAGTAATGCACTTGAGCCCGCGGTACAGTCATGTGACACTGGTCAGGGCATAGACTTTTTGACAGCTATCAAGTGACCACAACATGGATGTCCACTATCAAGCTAAACACAGATTATATATGCCTTGGACACCTAACCACCAATGCCCGGTCATTACATAGAAATCTTGCCTGCTCAGCAGCCAATCAGACCGCGCACGCTATTGTAGCCATAAAAAAAGAAGTTTTTACGCTCGCTCTTTGGTCATAATGATATATTATTTGAAAAATGAAAGAACACTTTTCAATACTATCTTCGAGTTCCTGACAATAAAAAACGAAGGATCTTCATCGCGCGGCTAAATAATCATCAATGGTGCGATGCATGGTTTGTGTAGGAATTCGTATGGGTTTTATGTTTCTTGTTGAAAAGCCTCTCACTCTTTTGTAGGTCCAGTGTGCGTTGTGTCAATCGCCGGTCCATACAGAAAAGGAAAGTCGTACATTTTAAGCGAAGCTTTTGCTCAGCCAAACGTTTTCCCTCTCGGACATGAAATGGTTGCAGAGACCATGGGAATATGGCTGTGGATTGTACCAGAGAAATACAAGGTAAGCAAAAAAAAAAAAAAAAAGAAAAAAAAACATAGCTCGTAGAATTTAGTTTCATCCTAGTTTCCTAAACTTTATTGTTATTCAGGTCACTACACAATCAACATTCCTTACAAATTATTCCAGATGTTACGTGTGATGGTTCTCTCTGTTGGACAATAAATTGTATCAACGTATGGCTGATGGAAAAACCCTTATTGTTCGCTGTTTTACTTCCAGGATTCCAATGGCCAGGAATTCACGGTGGTGCTACTAGACTCAGAAGGGATCGACGCTGCTTCCAGTGTTGGTTACGATGATAACCAAATATTCACTTTGACGGTACTGCTAGCTTCCGTGCTTATTTACAACTCACAAGGTGTGCCCACGAGGCGTGATCTCGAAGGACTAGAGTATCCTTTACTAACCCTTGTTTATCTTTATTCTCTCTCTTATTGCTCTTTGAGTAATTGCTTGGTTTGTTTGTTTGCTTGTGCTTTTTTAGGGGGAGAAAAAAGTACGAAAAAGTGTAGAGCTCTCATTAATGAACATTTCATTGTGTCTTTATTTTGTTTCATGATACCTCCCTTGTTTGGAAAGACGAGTGTATACTAAACTAGTTGGTTGAAAAGGAGGGAGATTGAAGGGGAGTTTTTTTATTTTATTTTGAAACGGTAGTGAGAAAATAGCAATATAAGATATTAAGCCTTATGCATAATTTTCCTTAACACATACTAGTTTTATAACAAAGCTGTCTCAAAGAATCCAAGTTAGATCAAATCAAGGGGTTTACGTCAAACAAAAGGAAACAGAGATGTTTCACCGAACGTTTCCTTACTTCCTCTGGCTGCTGAGAGATGTAACGCAAGCTATTCCACGTGATTGCAAGGATTTGAAAGATTACTTCTTAAAAAAGGTAAGGCGGGAAAATTGCAAAACATTTACATCAGGCAATGCAGTTGTTGTAAAGTGGTTGAAAATGTGTGTTAAGTACCAATCGAATGTATTGTGTCCCGGGGTTAGTTCGTCAAGACATGGTGAAGTTTAACCCAGGGTACGCCGAATTATAAGCAAGGCTGTAAGGTCCAGAAAAATGTAAGTGGAGCTTTTCATATGAGTTAGGTCTTTACACCGAGATTCTACCAGTTTAATTATGATATCATACAGCATACAGTTATAAAAAATCATGACAAAAATTTAATGCTTTGTTTATAGCGTTGATCGAGCTGTTTTCGAGGCTTTGTCATATATTTAGCCCTCTCTTTCCGGTTTCCCTATCCTTGGATACGGCTGTCTCATTCCGGTTTGTTCCCTTTTCGTAGGTTTTTAGAGACCAAGATTCCGCATCATTGTCATCATCTCGTCGTCAAGGCCAGCAAGTAGCGGAGAGCATTCTGCGTTACTTTTCCGGTTTTGAAGCCTTCTACTTGCCTCCACCTACGGCTGAAGAGGGCATAATGAGAACCCTTAACGAAAACAGGAGTCGAGTACGACCTCAATTCTTAACGAAACTGGAGGAATTTAAGACCCTGCTTAAGTCTACTCTGTTTCCAAAACGCAGCTGCTTTGATGGACAGCTGGTTACTGGAGAAGGTAACAGGTCTTTTTATACTTTTAGTATAGAGTGAAGAATCAGCAAATCATTTGGCGTAGTGGTTATATCAGTGGGATGAACCAGAATGTGCTTTTGGTGTTGAATTTATATCGACAACAATGCGTTATTTTAACTTTTCTTTCATACCCTGATGGGTTACTTTCTCATTTGATCATGATTTTTTTCCTACACTTAGTGAGTCAACCAATTAACACAATTAAATACAAATTACAAAGAATGTCCATGGAAATTACATATGGTGGGGATAAAAATAATTTCACTGCAAATAGTACCTAGCGAATACAAAGCAAACTGTGTATGCTTCACATGTTTCGAGTAAGTTAGTATCCATCGTAAGAATATGATTGCTCTAAACTAGAGTTCTTTGAGTTGATTTTTTTTTTCAGGGTATTTTAGACTATGTTAAAAAGTCCTTAAGTGTAGAATACGCTTTACAACGCGAGATGTTCAAACTTTTGATTTGTGCACTGCTTTTACCTTATTAGGAAAGATTTGACGTTGTAGTCAGTTGTTTTGCTCTGATCGTTTTACCTTGTAAGTAGTAAATAACTAAACATATATATATATATAAAACTAACTGAAGAGAAAAATTTCACTAAATAATGACAGGACTTGCTGCTTTGATCACTCTGTACGTGGAAGCCATTAACACTCCTGGTGCTGTTCCAAACGTGCAGTCCGCGTGGGAGACGTTCGTGGAAACAAAATGTATCGACGCCAGAAATGTAGCTCTGGATGTTTACAACACTCGTATGCGGGAGGTTTTGTCCAGTAAGCTCCCGTGCGACAATGATGAAATTCGCAAGGTACATAGCGATTCGCTAGAAGAGTGTCAACAACATTTTATGGCCGAAACCACTGGTATATCCACTATAACAACTGAAAAGTATTTACGGTTGCTAAAGGTAAGGTTTAAATGAACCTTTTGATATCTTTAAGGAATGCGATTGGGGGGATGAAATAAACGAAAAAATAATGATAATTGTAATGATATTGACAATAATAACGATGATGATAAAAATGTTGGTAATGACAATAATGTTGATGATTACGAAGACGACGATGATGGTGATGATGATGATGATGATGATGATACGTAAATAAAGGTGATTCATAGTAACTATGCCAAGATGCTTTTTCCAGTTACTAGGTAAGAGCAATAACATCTACATTATAAATTACAGTGTATGTACATATCATGGTTGAATTTCATCTAACATGTTGCGATTTTCCCTCACAATTTCTTGCCTCTCAGGAAGTAGTTTTTTGTTAACGCTCCACGTAGAATTTCGTCTGATTTCTTCTTCGCTTTTCATGCCTTCTTTTATTCAGCACTCGTTAATCCAGAAGTTGACTGAATGGCAGACTGAGAATACCCGGTTGACCAAAGAACTCTGTTATGATTTGTTGTCTAAATTGAAACAACAACACCTGGATCCAATCCTTCGTCAACTACAACGGCATGGTGGATCGAATTTGTCTTTCGATGACATAATTGGAGTATACCATCGCATCAAAGACGACTATGAAGGACAAGCGGTTGGAGCAAAAGATGTGATCGCAGCAACTTTTTTTGATTTCCAACCCGTAAGTATTTCCTCACGGTTAAACGTACTTCATGCCGCATTTGACTTTGTTATGGCTTGTTCTCGGGTAAGGTTAGCTTTATAGCTTTTCCTCGAGTGTCCTTTATTTTTTTTGTCTAATAATGTTTTTGTTATTGTTGAGTTAACTTTTGTTTGTTCTATTTTTCCAGTTCGTTATGTACTCGCTCATGTGCGTTGGTCAGTTCTTTGGCGTGATTTCCATAGAATTCAGACCCGAAAAACCTCTCGTTTCTGGCCAAATGACATTAATTTTCAGTAGGCAGCAGTGTTCTAAACGTCGGACTCATTGTTAACTGTATTTTTTGTTTCTCCATTGCGGCCGCGAGAGTGGGTAGAAAAGTTGCGTCCTTAAAGGGTTTGAGTCATTTTCATGGAAACCTAATGACGGATTTTTCTGTCAAAAGAATTCTTTTGAATTCGACTGTCATTCTTGCTGACTCACGATTATACGACATGATATATAGAACAGACTAGCTTAGAAGCAAGGCTCCCAAACAAGTCCGCATTGAAATCAATAAAACAATTGAGAAAAAAAAAAATGATGATGATGATGATTATGATTGTCACAACTATTGTAGGAACTTGCAAGGGAAACAAAGCAGTACCTTGAAATATTACGACAGATGAAACACTTTGATGAAAAAGCAGCACGAGAAATGAGAGTAAAAGCTTATCAAGAGCGAGAGAGAAAGAGACTTGAGGTACGTCTACGGACTAGAGGTTTATTCTGTGATGAAGCTTGTACGAAGAGCACAAAAAAAAAAAAAGTGCGAATCAACCAAACGACAAGGATTACCTGCTGATTTTCACACTTGCCGTTTAAGTTCTTAATTGTGAATGGCCCACAAAGTCGAATTGGACATTTTGGATGAAAAATTACTACACTAAGGACACGTTACAGCAGATTATATTAAAAAAGACGGATGGACGGCTCTCGGTATTAGAGACCTTTAGCATCAGGTTTTTCATGGAAAACCGCAAACCGCAAAATGTCAAATGACCACGGCCTTGCGGTCACGTTTGCAGTTTGCAGTTCACGTTTGAACGGCAGCAAAGGCTTCTAGCGGTAAGTGATTTACGGCAAGGGTTTTTGCCCCTGAAAATTGTACAGCCTCGCGTTTGAAGCCACGAACTAGCTTTTTGTATCCGTTTGCGATATGTTTGTTGGATTTTTGATCTCGAATTGGTGACTTATTCCTGTTTTTTTTGGGCGATAAAAGTGATGCACTTCGTCTTGATGAAAAATAACAAGGCGGCACTAAGCAATGAACGCGTAGTTCAAATCGATTTTATATTCCAAGAAAGTTTCTATTACAAGAACGTTTTCTCTTCCAATCCAGAGTTAACTTTTTTTTCAATCTTGTTACTGAATTGATTACTTAAAAAGTCGGCAACGTGAAATTGCAAACGCGTAACTGCAAACTGCGGTTTGCGGTTTGCCGCTTCCAATGAAAAACCTGATGCTAAGGACTCTATTGTCGATGCAGGTTCGTTATAGGTTAAAGGAATACAAGGACTTTTATCTTGTTATATCCTTTACGTGAGGAGCAAGGCGAGGTTATTCTGTGAGAGAGGGCGGTGGGGAGGGTGTGGGATTGTAACTTAGTTGGTAAATGGAGGTCATAAATTCGACCATATGTTTTCCCCCAGATAATCATCCAAAATTTACTACAAGTTCAGAATAAACTGTTTATAGCAAGAAGTACATGCTACACAATCGCCCTGGTATTGTTAGCATCCTACAATGACTACAAAGTGACAGTTTTCATATTCGAATTACGTTTATTTTTCCTCTTAATCTAGCATTATAACATTGCCTAGAAATATGATGAGTAAAAATAATCGAGAATTGCTGACACATAATCAAACGCATTACTTAACCTCGATTTATCACCGTGATTACTTTAGGAGCAACAGCTGCGACTTCAGCAAGAGAATCAAGAACACAAAAACGAGGTACCATATACGCTATCTATTTCTTTCTTTTTTTTTTTTTTTAATTGTTATCCAATAAACGATTTGTAACTTGCACCATTTGCTGTTTTTGAACAGTCAGGCTACAGACAAGAATGGACCTTGATGATTTCTTGCTGGGGTATAGATATAAAGATATACCAATAATACCTTGCGCAAGCTTGGCAAGCTTGACACCTACTCTGAAACGACGTGTTTGTAACATTTTGATTTTTCCATTGGGCACTGATTCTTGGGTGGAAAAAGGCTTTCCCGTCTTGCACCTTCAGCTGTGCACCTGGGACGGCTTTGATGCATATGGTCGCATGTTTCACATCCCCTGATACTCAGGCAAAAAATTTAAACACAGGCAAAAAATTTAAGATGGAATCCTTGAAAAACAAATTGTTAAGTATAATAACACCAAAGACTATTTCTCATGGGAGACTAAGAAAATAAATGTCAAATCTCACAAGAATTGTGAAAACCGCGGGTAAAGTTCTAAAACAAAATTCATGTGTAAGATGTCATTTTGTGAAATTTGACATTTATTTTCTCGGGCTCTTATGAGGAATTTTCTTTGGTGCTCAATTTCCTGATGGATTCCGTCTTAAAAAACGTTCAAAAAACACAAGACGGGGCATGAAATTTCTTCCAAGAAAGATGTTTAATTTAGTTAGCATTTGAAAAGATATTGGTTAGAGCATAAATGACGAAAGCCTTTAGCCTGGTTATTGTTGGCTGTCTTCACATCTAATGACCTTCAATAGTTTTATTTTTTCTTTCCTTTTATTTTTCTTGAAGATGGAAATGTTGATCGCCAGGCTAGAGACAGAGAGAGCACAATATCGGCAGCAGATGTACAGTGAGCTGGAAGCACAGCGAGTTCAAATGCAGAACATGATGGCAGCAAATATGAAGCAAGCCGAGCAAGAAAGAGAGGCCTTCATCAAGGATAACCAAGCCTTAGAGGAGCGCTTTCTGGAAGTGCAAAGATCGAACGAAGAAAACATGAAACTCATAAGAAATATGACCGCTTTGATTGCAAGGCAACATAAAGAGAAGGAGGTTCTTAGAGAAAATGCCAAGGAACTGCCCAAGGATAAAATGGAAGGCTTGTTAAACGAAATGAGTGAAAGGCACGCAGATGAGGTCGGGGCCTTGCTTAAAGAGACAGAGGGTCAGTTTGAGGAAATCAACAAGTTAAAGCAAGAAACCAGTAATGAAGAGGATGAAAATGTATGCCACAAAAAAATGGATGAAATACCAGAGATGATTAAATTGAGATCAGAGGCTGTGGGCAATGTACGGAAAAAAATAGCCGAGACAAGTCAGGAACAAGAACAGGGTTGGATATCAAGTTGCATAAAGAAAGGGTTAAAAGTTATTGCGCGAACAGCAAAACCAATTGGTTCAATTATTTCTATTGTTCAACCAGAAACAGCGGCATTCGTTGGGCCAGCAAGTGATGCTATTGGTAGCGTCGCTGACGAATTGTCAGATGTTTGCAGTGTCATGTGAAATTGAGAAAGCCAAGGAACGTGTTACCTATTTCATCGCTAGGAAAAACAACAACAAAAAAATCAGTGAAGCCAACTGAGCAAGTGACCCCTCTACCATAACAGCTTTAAGACAGTGCAAAAATTTGATGACTGAAATTTTTACGCGACCTTAATGCATAGTGATTGTAAATGTTTACTTTCATTGATGTTCGATGTTAGCCTTAAGATTTAACACTTTAAGATTTTTCGTATAATATTCTCATAATTAGGGGCAAACTTCTAGGAGAGCTTTTTTATCCTTATTTGCACAATGAATTAAAAAATAAATCAAAGCTATAGCGCTACCATATTTGAACTATTATGTTGAATATTAAAGCTATATTTTAATTTTTTTCTAAGTTGAGGACATTGGATATGATATATTATACGGTAGTTCTACTAGGTAGCTCGTATGCTGAACAACTTACAGCGCTTAACAATGCGATTTGATTTCAATAAAGAGATTTCAATTAATGCAGTTGGAAAGTGATTACACTTCTGAAAGTACCGTAAAATTCCGAAAATAAGCCCCTCCAAATATACTCGCTTTTAATAAGTCTGGCCACCATCTTGAGTTTTCAATGAATGACGTCAATCGCGGAAAGATCATAGACGCGGCCAAAATGGCTACTAAAGATGAAAGTTCTGTTGACGTCGAATTTGTAGTACTTTGTAGTGTGTTCAAATAAAAAGGAATGTTTTTACTTTATATCAAGAGGGATATTTTCTTTATACGATGTCTTTTGGGGTATGTTATCGTAACTTTAAAGCTTTCGTACAAAGATATTCCTGGATCGATGATATGAGAGCAAGGATTGAAATGCAAAAAAAATGCGAATTAAAGGTTTGGCTTAATCGTCATGGCTTACGTCAACAGACACGAGCTAAACTTCTTCCCAGGTAATCTTTTTTAGCAATTGTTTTGATACTTTTTCATTTTTTATTTAAAAAGCTAAAAACGATTCATTATTACCGCTCGTAGGAGAAGACTTGTCAATGAATTATTCCCGACCTATCCAATCGAACAAAACCGAACAAAAAACCAATCGAACCCAATCGAACTCCAATCGTTCGATTGGGTTGGGCAATCGAACAAAATCGAACACCTATTTTGCTGTGAGTTCGATTTTCGAACCAATCGAACCAATATAATCGAACAACATCGAACAAGATCGAACTAATCCGACACATAAACAAGACTATGTACTTAAAATGCAGGCTTTATTTACACGACTGGATTTTGGTTTTGTACACCCGGAGTTAAAGAAGAGTACAATTACATAATCACCGGGATAATCAGCATGTCTGTTTGTCCAGTATTACGAAACCCTGGAGTTTACACGTGCACGTCGACACAATCAATATCCGATCTTGAGAAAATGCCTCTCAGCTTGTTAACATATTGTTGCCCTGATGCCTTGTTTTAAGAGCTCGTTTTTCAACTGAGTGATCTTCCTTCGAGCTGCTTCCATTTCAATTTTGATTGGAACGTTAATCCCACCGCCAACTCGCCATCTTCCTTTTGGATCGTCGAAAGGCCTTCCAATAACTTTGCTGAAAAAAAAAAAAGGAAAACAATTCTCCTGTTATTCCCGGGGGAAGTTTCCGTTATCCCTCGTGGCATTTCCGCTTGACACGAACACCACTGTTCGCCCTGGACGAGGCGCAAAAATAGAACGCGTGTTCTTTTTCCGATTTGACAACATTGGTCAAATGTTTGACCACAAGCGCATCCTAATTGGCCGAAGTTAATTGCCAACTGTTTGGTGGCTTAAATTTAATGAGAATTCCTAAGCGAGTCGGAAAAGTAACTGTTTTCACGAGATTTCCGGTTGAAAGTCGCTAAGCGACTTGAAAATCGCTCGTGAAAACACGGCCATTTTCTCCTTAAAACCCGGTGAAAACAAAATCCGTTTAGCATAAGTGCCCGTAAGTGGGATCATAACTCACCATTTCATCCCGTCCTTAAAGGGCCAAAGTGGTGAGACCAACGTCCGCTCAAGATGTCCTAACTGCCCTTTAGTGTTGGTAACCTTGAATACTCTTCTCTTAGAGCCAATCTTCTTAAAGATAAAGAATTCTTCTCCCACATCAACAGTAAAATTAAATTCTTGGTAACCTTTTACACTGCATGTAATTTCAATACATGCAGTGTCCTCCCTCTCCTCCGTGTTTGACATTTCAGACATTTCAGTCCTGGGTTTCAGTGCTCAGCAAAAGCCGCGTAAAAAGGGAAGGGAGTTAGCGGTGATTTCACTTTCACCTTCGGAATTTTCCAATACCACTTGCCTATCATGCGATGCGGCGTCCGTTAATCGAACGTTCGATTATACCAATCGTTCGGTAATCGAACGTTCGATTGTGTTCGATTGGCAAAATTTTATTGTGGATTCGATTATGTTCGATTGAGTTCAGCAATCGAACGATTGGTGTTCGTTTGGGTTCGATTGCCGAACTGTTCGATTGGATAGGTCGGGATTATTCATAAGAGCTAATTGAAAGGACTTTTCATGCTGCTATTCTGATCCTTTCAAAATGTACGATAATCGATGTCTATCTCGGTAGACAGCTTATGCTTTTCATCATCAGTTTTTTTATGTTATTATGTATAGGTTTTAGGGTAAGAAAGAAGTTGGATTAAAACTTTTACACTACAGTCGACCCTTTGCACAGAATAATTTTTCACCGTGGTAAGGCGTAGCTCAGTAATCCAGAAAGCTATCAGCTCAACTCCTGGTTAGAGATGTAGCCACTTGAGAGAGCTGGAGCACGGATGCATCAATTCTTCCAAAGCACTTTGCTTACATTTACATTGTCGCACAAGTAGCGAAAAAATCAAAAAACACCCTCGAAAAGGGATACAAATTTTTATTTGAAAATGACTGTCACGACGATTATTGTAGGCTTATATGGACAATAAACTCATGTGGAGGGGAGTGCTTTAAATCATGATCAAATGAGGAAGAATGATAGGCCTCACAATGTTAACAGTTGTGATAAATGCTCTTGTACAGCAGGAGAAAATGGTTACTGTAATCACATGTTTTTATTATATAAGTGTTTGAATTCACTGAATTCCCAAGAACTGGAATGTGCACAACTCAAAACAATAGCACAAACCAAGGACCTAGGGTACGAACCCTAATTCATATAATGCATACAAGGCATATAATGTCAATCCTTATTACAGGGAGAAATGCTCAGGGAGAAATGAGGGCTTTAAGGTGTCCCTTGTATGCAGCCAGGCAACTTACGGTCCAAAATAAAGAGAGCGCAAATTAGTTCTTTCATTCACTTAAGACAATTAACTGTCCTGCAATAGTTTCAACTAAATTAACTGGACACAAGGTTCCACGGGTAGTTAGTTAAACATCTCTCTCTAATGGAGGCAAACTTCAGTGTTATGACCACTATTCGATCCAATTTGCCAAGACCAGAGCTGCTGATGGCTCCTTTCCTGAATTCCCAATTGACGCTGACACACCAGCTTGAGTGGGATTTTCATTTGCAAATGCCCCCTTTTTCAGGAGGACTAATTCATCAGTTGTTTAAAAATTCCTAATCCATCCTTAATTGAGAATCAAAAGGTCAAAGCAAAAATACGCTGTGGTTTCGAAGTAAAACGTTCCAGTCAACTAGCTGTAATTTGCACTTATTTGCGAATGGAAACTCAACATCTCTCACTGCAAACAAGGTTTGTTAAAAATACTCTCGTGTCTCAGAATGATGTTTCTAATAATATTGAATGGCAAATTGGTCTTAAGCAGCAACTAAATATGCTGAGTACGTGAAAAATATTGGTTTAGCATGTATATTTATATGTAAAGATACATTCATATTCAGGGCTTAGAGTGTGGTGTAGTCATATCAAGCACAATGTCATGGTTGGCTGCTTTACCAAACCGACGAGTAATAGATAACAAATATCAAGTTAAGGTTTATTAGAAATCAAATGCCCTTTTACATTATGAAACTTGACACCTGAGAAGGCATTTTCTGATCCAAGGTGTTGTTGTCACTTCACAGCGGTCAAACGAGTGAAATTTGCAAAAGTTAAGCGAAATACTTCAAAGTTAAGGTTGCTACTTTCACTATCGAAAGTTTAAGGTATTACCAACATCCTGTTAGTTTACTAAACTTTTTAAAAGTCTATTAAAAAAGTTCTAAGTGATTAAAAACCGATGCTGACGTTATTCTCGGCGCCATTTTCAAACATGATTCTCTTTTAGCGTGAAGCGTTTTCAGCGAAAGAAGCTCAAAATTTTGAGAAAAATGGAAAGATAGTTATGTTGACAAACTGATTTATACATCTTTGCCCATTTTTCTCTAACTGGTAAATGAAATCCCAGCAATAAAAAACAAAAATAGCGATTTAGACGTTTGACCGCGGTGGTTATTGTCACATTGTTAATGTTAAGCCTGAGCTCAAAAGGGTCCACCTTCTTAAGGGTGATTTGTGTCGGGCAGGATTAAAGTGGTGCTGTCTTCAATATTCTTAAGAAAAAAGACTGGTTACATTTCACGTAATATTTAGCAGTTTTTTACCTTCTACCTTTAGTGCTAAAATTTCGGATTCTAGTTCAAAAATTTCAGCGTCGGATTCGTGTAAGCTGTGTCGCTCAGCATCATTTGGCTCAACACACACCTCACTCCTGTGGTGTTTACCATATTTGGTTTCCCTACAATCAGATTCCTGTTCAACTTTATCTTATTTTGGATCTTAGGGATAAGGTATGGCTTCTGTACAGGGCATTTAAACACCGACCGAGGGGAAGCTGCACGTTTTCAAAAGCTGCCGACCACTATTAAAAGACAATACTTCCGAGGTCATTATCCCTAAAATGAAAAGAACAGACGATTGTATGTTTCTGCCTCTAGCAAAAGAGCAATATTTGAGAGATGAATATCGCGGTACGAATCAGAAGCCACACATGAAAAGACTAAGTTACACACCTTTACGGTCGATTACTCCTCCCTTTTAATTCGCTGCAGCCGTGCCAGCTTTTAATACACCTGCATTCTGATCACTTGGAATTTTAAGTCACATTTCTTAGTGTTGCGTTTGTTATCGAACATGATGTCCCCGTATGACTTGCAAAGACGAACCGCACAATTGCTATTACTTTAGCCTGAGAAAAGGATTCGCTGGTATTTGTTAATAATTTATATAAATCTCATTGTCTTCAGCCCCGGAGCAAATAGACCTGATCTGGTCTATTTCGTAAGAAAATTCGCAAAAAATTGCGTTACTTCCGATTGCTCCCAAATTTGGCACAAAGGAAGTTAATAGATTTAGCCAATCACCTGCCTAGTTTATACAAGAAAAGAATGGAATAAAACGATTCATAATGGCTTGACTTTGCCTCTCGTCCTGACATGGTACTGTCACGCGAGTCAAAACTCAAAGATGGCGGCTGAGGTCTTTCCGCGAATAACGTCATAAATTAAAATTCAAGATGGCGCCCAGACTTATTAAAAGCGTGTATAAGTCCCCCAAACTCGTAACGCAAAAAGCCCTCCGTTACATCGCCCCTCCGAATATAAGCCCCCCGGGGATCTTGCACTTGGAAATTGCCCTCAAATACAAAGCAAAACAAAGCAAAAACGGTAAATTTCCTTCCAACTATAAGGCTAGCCCAATCGATTTTGAAACGCAAATTTCCCTCCGTAGATAAGCTCCTCCGAATATAACCCCCTCCAAAAATAAGCCCCTCAAAAAGGGTCTTTGAAAAATATTAGCCCCGGGGCTTATTTTCGGAATTTTACGGTAGCGGAAGATTTGCGAAAGTTACGATAGCAACAAAAAAAGGGTGAATAAATTAGAAAAGTTCAGCGTGTTGACTGCGTGACAATCAGCTAAAACGTAACATTTTTTGAAAATCCCGGATGTTACAATCTGAAATATAACGCGCACCTTTAAACCGTTCCCTTGGTGTCGTGTCACTATTTTTAGCCTTTGCTCTCAAAGACATAATTGAAACTTGCGCTTAATTTTAACCTCATGCATATGAGTAGCTATATTCGCTATTCAGCCATCTTTTACAACGATCGAGGTTGCTAACCTACCATACATCGGAAACAGAAGTAAGTGCCATCTATTACTGTCGACATACTTCGGAAATTACATTTTCGTTACCCTAATATTAATGTCTACCTTCTGCCAATATCTTTGGCTTCAAGGAGTCTACAAAATCGGTGTTAGCTTAAGCTGAGCACCAAAACAAATTATTTAAATAAAAGAGTAGAGCTAGTCATTTAGATGGCATTTCTTTATTAAGCCAGAATTTCCAATAGCCTAGCGAACTACGAATGGTTTTAGGAATGTAAACATGGATGAAATGTGATGAATTGTTGCAAAGCTAATGCCATTTTGACAATATCGTTCCGCATGTTTCTTTTGCTTTAAAAGAATCTGATTACAGTGACAATATTCTTACTTTCTTAAGTAGTAGGCAGATCTCCGCAGTTCGACACTATTCACTAATATCGTGCAGCATACATGCCCTCGCTTACTTCCGCCTTTGTTAATACTGTTTGAAATAAAAAAAAAAAGTAATTAAAAAAAAAAAAAAAACGGAGCAGGACGCATGCATGTCACTAGTAAGTATATAGTGCACCGTACTTGAGGTGACCTTTGAAGTTTGCCTAGCTGAACAAAGATAGTGATAAACCTTGGGCAACTTGTTGGATGCAGAACGTTGGATCTGCCTCATTTTAAAAGCAGTGTTGAACGATGCTTGAATGAAATGAACTATTTGTCTACAAAACACCATCCAAAAATTGCTTTCGTTTTCGCCTGCAATATTACAAAGGAGCACGTGCGATCAACGAGAACGATGCCGTTACTAATACTAGATGAACAGTTCGTTTGTTTCTCTGACCACGGATCATACTGCAATATGTCGGTCTTTTTTGAACAGATCAGGGCATCGTGGAACAGATCTCTCGTGGACGCGCTCACCTGTAATCCACAAGGTCGACGGCAAGGAAGGTTTGCCCAGGGTTTGCCTTTTTGTTTATTTCTTTTAATAATTCTGCACCTAAACGAAAAATTTCGAAATTCGTGAGGTTTTAAATGGCACAGACGTTCCTTTGAATTTAGACACCCTTGGAGAGATTAGCATATTCAGATCAGTGGTACAAATTTCAATGACTTAAAGTGGCGTGGAGACACTGGCCACAGCTGATTAATATTTAGCTGAGGAGAATTAATTGCAGTTGTTTTTGGTTGTGGGCTAGTTCAAAAAAACCAAACGGCGACAGAAACGGAACGGCGACAGAAGCAGTGCAGTTAGCACCCAAAACAATTGCCTCTGTATGCTTGTTTTAAAGATAGAGCTGGTAAACTATTGGGAGGGATCCAACACCGTCAATATTCAGGGAGTAAATACTGCTCGTAAACAAAAAAGTAAATGTAATAATAATAATAACAATAACAATAATAATAAGATTAATAATAATAATAATAATAATAATAAATAATAGGACAAGTATTTTAAAGGGGGAACCAACTACTTGGTAATTGCATGTACTAAATTGAATACAACCAAGTTCGTACACTTACGTCGAGATGATACCTCTTAACAAGTGCCTGGTGCCTATACAATGTGTTGACCCTTT